GACTTCGGTCTGATGCAGTAGTTCATTGTGCTTGATGTTTTTGTGATTCAAACATGTCTTTGTGTTATGTGTTCTAGACTTCGGTCCGATGCAGTGTGTAGTATATATGTTTATGCTAGTAGTTATGATTATGTCATACTATGTTCAGTCAGTTTCCGGACTTCGGTCCGATGCAGAGGAGGACCTAGTTAGTTTCCGGACTTCATTCCGATGCAGTTTCTGAACTTCAGTCCGATGCAGTTTCTGGATTTTGATCTGATGCAGTGGGCAAGGTCCAGTATGTGCTCTATATGTTATTGTATGGTATGTGGTAGATTGGCGGGGGGGGGGGGGGGGGGGGGGGGAGAGCTCACTAAGCTTCGTGCTTACAGTTTTCAGTTTTGGTTTCACGTACTTCCGCTGGCAAGGGGAAGAGCTCGGGTTGATATGGCACATACCACAGTTAAAGTTTTATCCTGGGAGTTTTGTTCAGATGTTTCGATATGATATTAACTGCAGTTTTGATTTGATACATTTATTATGACATTTTGAGACATACGATACATGATTTTATTAGATAACATTCGATGTTGTGGGTTTTTAATAATGTTAAAACAAAAATTTTTGGGTTGTATTTTTGGGATGTTTCAAATATTTTATAAAAAAAAATTATTTGTAAAATAAAGTTTTCATGAGTGTAGGTGCATAGCACAGTTTAAAAAAGATGGCTAGATGGAGACAAGTTTATAATATCATTAATGGAGGAATTGGTAAACTTAGCTCTTAAAGGAAAAGCAGATTTACTTGAAAAAAGATTATTCTAAACTTGCTACCCTTATGAATCAAAACTTTGATCTACGGTGGTAAAACAAGAAATAGCGATGTACTTTCATTGATTTGTTTATTATTGCATCATATTTTCATTTCTTCGTATTACAACATTATACTTTGAAAAACAAAAATCTATCTAATTATAATTTATAGCAATAGGGAAATCTCCATAAGAATCCTTATATTTTGGCCTCATAAGTAAATGTTTGTTGAAACCAAAACTGTATGCTTGAAAGTTTATATCACTGATCTGTGTATGTAAATATTGTTATATGTATCATTTTTTTTGTGCATGCTTCATGTTCCCTTTAATATGTTATATTGGACTCGGATAAAATTGTTAAATTGTCATCAACACTCTAAAGGGATAACCGGATAAGCAACAAAGTTTCGATTTGTGTTTCGATAATGATAGTCGACTATCAAATAAAACATTCAATGTTGTGTATAAACAGGTTTTTAGAAATTTATAAAACTTTGTATACTTCTATTATTTTTATATATTTCAGTTTTTGTTTTTATTTATTTTTATATTGCATTCTATAAAATTATAATTTTCTAGCATATCTACATATACAAAATGGCATTTAAATATTCAAACCAATATCATTTTCCAATTTCAGCCAATAAATATGTCATTGTGATATTACTGACAAAACATATATATTTATTATTTATTAAAATTTTTATTATCATTTCTCAATAATTAAGTTATAACTTAATTCAATTTATTTTAAAATTATTCATCCGTGGTGCCCACGGGTTATAACCTAGTGCGCACACACACACACACACACATATATATATATATATATATATATATATATATATATATATATATATATATATATATATATATATATATATATATATATATATATATATATTAGTGAAGTTTAAAGTTTCAAAAGCTATTAAAGATTTTGAGAATTAATCCTATTGAATTAAAAGCACGTATTTATACAAATTCTCTTGCTTCAAATCAACAACAGAAATATATGTGTGAATTTCTATTTAGAATCCATTTCAAAGTTAGAATTGAACGAGGGTGTTTAAAATAGAGTTGTACTTCTAAAATTTTAACTTGGAATGATGTTAGATTATTTACACACTTTTTTGTATTTTAGGAATTTTTGGTATATTTTAGAAGTTGCTAAATTTGGAGAAACCTAAAGTGCATATAACCAGGAAACTTGAAGGGTTGTATTAGAACTACTAGAAGGCCTATATGATTGATCACCTTTCTCTTGCTAGGAGTCGTCTCTTTTAGCTCTCTATATTCTTTCAATAAGCGCAAAATTGGGGTTTATACACTTGAGATTGTTGCATAGAGTTGTTCTAGATTATAGAACTTGATTGTAGATAGTAGATCAATTTTCTTGAGTAACCTTATTTAAAATGATAAAGAAGTTTTAACTTATAACGGTGTCAAAACGAAGTTTTTAAAAAAATATTTGGATTAGCTTATCTGATATCAAAACATTATAAGTTTATAAATCATTTGTGTTTGGCAAAATGAAAAAAATAAAATAAAGATTTCCAAGAAATATTGGACCGATATAAGTTATAAGGGTTTTAATAAGTTAGGGATGACTAACTTATCAAAAATAACTTATCTTCGGTCTCACACAGCTATAAATAGTTTTTAAAAAACAGTCTATTCAAATATTTATTTTAACTTATACTAGTATAGAATAGGTAACAAGTTAAAAAAAAACTTATTTTTTAAAAATAAGCAAACACCCTCTAAAAAGAGTAAAATTTCTCACCTAACTCTTGTAGTTCGAATTCAAGGGTTATTATAGTATACCATGGGTTTAAAAAATTACCCTGTGGTTTTCTACATTCAAGCATATATTATAGTATACCATGGGTTTAAAAAATTACCCTATGGTTTTCTACATTCAAGCATAGATAATAAAATTAATATTTTACTTTTTAAACAATCATTGTAATTTCATTTTATGAAGATAGAAAAACTTTGTTTTTGAAAATACAATAATGATTTAACGAAGTTCAACAAAATTTCGTTATAGAGTTATATTTTGCTTCTAGGGTATTAAATGTTAGGGTCGATAATCACTCATGTGCATATAATGTCCTAAATAGGAAACCAAACAAGTGTATACTAACGTTTACCCATATCAACAATTTGCTTACATCCACACATGTCACTAGGAGTTTGTTATGTGATACTTGACTTATCCGGTAAAAAGTATAATGAAAAACGCTTGTATTTTAAAAATTTGTAAAAACTAATAAAAATGAACAAAATAAGGCAACCATGAAATTATATTGACAAGGATTAAAGATCGGTCTCTATTCAAATTGGCATCCAACATTAAGCGGGTGGTCGGGATTGTTTATTTTAAGGCTTAAAGAACAATATACTTTTTTTTTATAAGGGTTAATACCAAAAAGTATCAAAAAATAATCATCGATAACTCTTAGTTTTCATTTTAAGTCACTTATTTTCTTATTATGCTCGATATGTCATTAATTATTTTTCACGTTTCATTTATAGCATTAAAATTTATTTTTAGGATATGTAGTCTCCATTTTGATTATTATCGAGTCTTGATAGGTTGTAGTTAGGATAAAACTATTATTTGGATATAAATGAAGAAACATATTGAATGAAACGTTGGATACCACAAAAGTGTTGAAGACCACTTTATTAAGTTTAAATCAACTCTATGGTGTAACAAAATTAAAACTTAAAAAAAAAAAAAAAAAAAAAAAAAAAGGAAAAAGAAAACTTTATTAACGTATTGAGTGAAATTAAAAGATAAATGACTTTAAAAACAAATTGAGAGTTACTGGTGACCATTTTGTACAATTAACAATTTGTATAAAAGTGTTTATCAACTTATCAAAACAAAGTAAGTAAGTATATATATATATATATATATATATATATATATATATATATATATTATATATATATATATATATATATATATATATATATATATATATATATATATATATATATATATATGTGGTTAGTTTAATGTGAGACGATCTAATTTTGTGAGATCGTGAGACACATTTTTTTATTTTTTATTTTTATTTTTTTTAGTTAATTCAAGTTCCAAAAATAATATTTAAAAAAAGAATTTTTGGATTTTTCCATTTATTTTGTATTTTAAAATTATTTTTTAGAATATGTACAGTTTAATATTCTCTTAAAATATTTCATGTATTTTTCAAAAAAAATGGATTTTATTTTTATTTTTTTTAGTTAGTTCAAGTTCCGAAAATAATATTTAAAAAAAGAATTTTTAGATTTTTCCATTTATTTTGTATTTTAAATTATTTTTTAAAATATGTTAGTGTAATATTCTATTAGAATATTTCACGTATTTTTTTAAAAAAACGGGATTTTTTTATTTTTATTTTATTTTTATTTTTTTTAAGTTAATTCAAGTTCAAAAAATAATATTTAAAAAAAAAAGAATTTTTAGATTTTTCCATTTATTTTGGTCTTTCAATTTTAAAATTATTTTTAGATTTGGTCTTACAAAATTAGAATGGTTTCAAATGAACCTGAACTTATATATATATATATATATATATATATATATATATATATATATATATATATATATATATATATATATATATATATATATATATATATATATATATATATATATATATTCTAACTAATTATTATGTGGATGTAGGAATGATTATGGGCCATTTATTTTATTTATTTTAAGAAAGTGATTAATATATATTATTAAATATAATTGAAAATTCTTATTTATTTTCATTTTAAGGGTATTTTAGTCAATTAATACAAATTTAAAAAAAGAAAATTACAAATTTTAGGAAATAACTAATTCTCTAAATTTTAAAACTCAGATTTTTTGGATAATAAATATATTAATTTAGACATTCTGAAAGAATGTTTTTATCATTATCTTGAAAAAACCATTAAATTCTGACAGAATACTATACACATATATTATCAAGATTAATAATTTTTAATGAATACAAATTTTATATGAAAAGATTTTTAATAGCTTAAAATCATTAATTACATTCATTCTTAACAAATACAAATATGAACATAAATGACATTGATTCTGAAAGAATACAGTTAATAATGGTAAACAATTACATTTATTCTAAAAGAATAAAACTAAGAATGATTAAAAATAAAATAAAAACATATTCTTATAGATCATTGTTTACTTATGGACAACTGAATGTATATTCATACATATTCTTATAGAATAATAGTTTATACATTTTAATACAACTATACATATTCTAATAGAATATATTGCTAATCCATTCTAAACAAATTACATTTTATAAAAATGGCCTTATGCTTAGAGTTGCAGATGGAGCTGAACTCAAGTATGGAAAATCCTTAGGAAAAGCTTGAAAAATCTGAAAACATGAAAAAACAAATACATATTAGATCCAATGAAATCTCGCATATCAGAAAGTTTGTTATAGAATAGTTTTGTTGCACACTTGCTACTAGTATCACACCAATTTGTATACAGTACATATGTAATCTAAATTATTGAAATCCAGAAAAAAAAAAAAAAAAAAAAAAAAAAGCTAAATCGCAGTAATCAAACTGTACACCCCAATCCAGGCATGACTTAAAACCCTTGAAGAAACTCCATTTTTAGCATATTGGTCCCTTAAGTACGATGGGCATACTTATGAGTACGCTTAATGTACTTCACATGGGTGATCACGGAGAGGCAACACATACGCTGGGCGTACCAGAATTACGATGGGCGTACGTACCGAATGACCAAACCCTAATTTTCGACATAAGACCTATATAAACACCCTTAACTCACTTGAGCCTCACCCTCATCAGCCCCTTTCACCTTCAAACGTCTCTGGAAACCCTAATATCAATTGTGAGTGTATTTTGAGCTTTAAGAGTGCATTTGTGGCCCTTTTAGTGTTCATTCAAGAAGAAGAGGTTGGCAAACAAGCTTGGAGTGGCCTTGGACTTCAAGAATCTGAATATATTTGACCTTGAGGAGCTTCTGGAGCATGGGAGGTTACAGACTGTTAGTAGAGCAGCTTTAGCATTCAATAGACAAATGTGAGTCTCCTCACCATACCAATGGGTCGAAGGCACCAAGGCTGGCCCATTAATTGTTACGTATATACTATTTGGATTATGTGATATGTCATCCACTAGTTGTTTCTATGTATCTTGTATGGAAGACCTAGGGGGGGGGGGGGTTCTCGAGGCACTTAGGTATAAGACCGTGGAGGGTTTCCACAGCATCCTAGGTCAAAGACCTCGGGGGGTTCCCGATGCACTTAGGTGTAAGACCTTGGAGGGTTTCCATGGCATCCTAGGTCAAAGACCTTAGGGGGGTTCCCGAGGTATTGGGCTAAGACCATGTGGGGGTTCTCATGACACCCGAAGTAAGACACTGGAGGGTTTCCAGGGCTTCCTTATATGTTGGTATGCATGGTTTATGTGATATGTATAATTGCTTTAGCTGGTATGATATGTTGTATGTGGTTTGCATGTGGATATGCTCTAGGGAACTCATTAAGCTTTCAGCTTACCATTTTTGGATTTGTTTCAGGTACATCTGAGCCCAAGGGCAAAGGCAAGGCGCGATGACACGACGTGCACTCTCCCTCTCATTGATATGCTATGGGATTTGAAAACAATTGTTTTGGGATTTCATGGTTTGTGTAAATGTGTTTGGTTAATTAAAAATGAAAATTTTCTTCGAAAATTTTGGTCGTTACACAAACAGAAACAACTTGTGTTCTTCCTCCCTCCATGGAACCCTATTTTTTCGATTATTATAGAATCAAATATTATGAAATATTAAAATTGCTCGCAATAAGAACAATCAATTTCCAACTTCAGAGATGCAAAATCGTAATCCTTCACTAACCATAGGAGAATCTAATACAAACGCTAACTCGATCAAATGTGAAAAAGAAATGCAGAAACGAATAAACAATAGATAAACCGAATATGTTAGAGATATTGAAAAATCGAGATCTAACATCGTTTGCGCTCTCGTCCACCATTGGATTGGTTGCGGACAACATCATCAGCGGAGGTGTAACCTCTGGTGCCCGAATTTTTTTTAAGAATGAGAAGGCGAAGGCAATGGTGACGATTAGCTGTTTCCGGACGCCTCTTGACTGGTCTGGTAGCAAAACACGTAGGAGAGGGGAAACGAGGAAGACAATAGTGGAGGCATCGGTCGGATGAATGGCACTGCTCGAGTCGGCTTTAGGGTTTAATAGGTAAATAGAAAACTTATCCTAAAATAAAGGGATATCAATGAGTAATTTTGGATATTAGTTAATATATATGTGTAATATTACTAATTTGCCCTTATTAATTTATTTAATTATTTATTTTATTTTTAAATTTTGATTGGTCCATAATCATTCTATATCCACACAATAATTAGTTAGAACACTTGAACCTCTCTCTCTCGCTCGCTCTCGCTCTCTCTCTCTCTCTCTCTCTCTATATATATATATATATATATATATATATATATATATATGTATATATATATATATATGTATATAGTGGTTCAAATGAGAACAAAAAAATGTTAAGAACCGTAAGAACCTCTAACTTTAGATGTTTATAAAGGGTTTAGGGTAACCCTAAACCCTAAACCATAAACCCTAACCCTTAAACCCCAAACTCTAAATCCTAAACCCTAAACTCTTTATAAACATCTAAAATTAGAGGTTCTTACGGTTCTTAACTTTTTTTTTGTTCTCATTTGAATATATATATATATATATATATATATATATATATATATATATATATATATATATATATATATATATATATATATATATTTTAATTTCATCCACACATTAAAAAATGCTTATATGGTACCAATGCATAAAAAGTTAATAAATATCTTAAAGAAGAAATACCAAACACACTAAAAATATTGATATATGCATTTATGAATACAATTTTGATGATCATGTAAATGGAATTGTCCCTATCGAACATGATAGCTAAAGTTTTCATATATCCAATACATTATTTTAGCCTCTATAAAAACAAAAGCATGATTTCCTACCCAAAGGAAGGGGACATGATTTGGTTGTTTCAAAGTGTACACAAAATTTGGAAAATAATATTACAACATATATAATAGTGGCTAAAAAGTACTCAAACCAATGACAAGTCTCACTTACTTAATATGAGTAATAGTCCTTGGTTTTGTCTTTCCAAATTGTAACGATACATATAGATCGTTGAAAAAAACTTCCTCAAGGGACCTCTTACAATTGTCGAGCAAAGCATTTTGCTCAATATGCTTGTGAGTATGAAATATCAACACTAAACTGGTTATTAAGAGTCCATATGATCTTCTTTCCCCATAACATGTTGCGTGTATTATATTCTTTATGAATTGGCCTAAAACTTTATTTTTGGTTTGGAGATGATGAGGACACGTGTGTGTCCTTGCATAAGTGTGCTCGTTAACTGACCTTCGATCTTCAAAAGGTTTATTATTTTTCATCTCTCGTATCCCTAATACACGATTTTGTGATTATTTCTAAAAAATAATATCTTTCACAAATCTCATACCTATAGGTTAAGATCCACGCAATTATTTAACTTCACATTAATTAATTTTTTTTCTTTTATGTATAATTGGTAATCAAATCATTAAACTGATTTATGAAGAAAAAACAAATCACCCAAAGTATATTCACCATATTGAATCAGATATTGACGATTTTTATTGCCATATCCAATACACGGCTTTGTGAGATAACATGATATTTAACATTAATTTTAATATTTTGATTAATAGTGGTTCGTTTTAAAACCTTTTTATTTACTTATACAACAACCACCATTATTTTAGGAAACCTCAAAATAATATAAATTAAAACAAAATTCTAAATCCAATATAAATTATATATTTTTTATATATGAAATCAAACAAAATAAAAAATAAATCAAATCTAATCCCCTCAGTGAGCTTACGTTATATTTGGTTGCTTCAATTTGGCCATTTATGCCGACTTTCTTCTCACTAATGTACTTTATTTATTATAAATTATAAGTAATAACATGACAATGTACTTGTGTTTTTTTTCTTTTTTCCTGCATTAATGAATAATTGAAGTGGGAAAACAGTTAATATTTCAGAAAAAAAGATTTTTTATTTTATAAGATCTGGATTTCTTTAAGTCATATAACATATATTTCTACTTACAATATCAACAAGATTTCAGCTACCAACAATTATGAGAGATTTACCACAAAAAAAAAAATGAGACAAAATTGACCATAACTACTAAGACTATTGTTGTGCATAGAAGATGAGTAACCTGACTTATGTTTGACCATTTTGTCCCTTTTTTATCAGCAAAATTGACAAAAATGCCCATTGTGAAGCTATCAAAGTTGTGAGTTTTGCTGGAGGGATTTCCGATTCTGGTTTCCTCAGTCTACAATATTTGCTCCTATAAACTGCAAAAAGGACTCTGAAAATGAATTTTTAATCATTAAAAAACATTAGGGAACGAAATCATATGACAAAAATAAAGATTCAGAAAATTACTTACATTTGATATTTTCCAATTATAATGAAGAACACAACTTTATTTCAGCAAATGTCAACAATAGACAAATCTTTCAAAGTTAGGGAGAACAATTGTCCCTTGCTACCTCTGTTTTCAAAGAAACAAAAATAAAGATTCAGAAAAACAAATGAAGTGAGATTTCTTGGAAAATGTTTTAAAAAAACCCTAATTCCAATTCATGGATTTTGGACATCAAAGAAATGTACCTTCTTGGTCTCAGAAACTCTATATAGATCAGCATGTATCTCAGTCAACCACAAACCAGGAAACAGTGTCTGAAATAATATCAATGGAAATACAAGTTAATAAGAATCAGAACAGGTTTTACAAGTATTCGAGCTGTTTGATGCTTATACATGAATTATAAGTTAATCGTATTCAATTGATAGTTACAAGATTATGTGAATAAGATAATAGTGTGCCTTGATGTGATCTTGTTATGAATTTCTTCAGATAGAATCTTTAACTTTGTTAGGTTAGGTAATCTCCTTTCCCTAACTTCTATCATTCAGCATTCTAATTTAATATGGGATATAAGTACGATTTGAATGCTGATATCAACATAATAGAGAATTGTTGGCAAATGAATTATGCGATCTAACAAAAAATTAGATCACAGCTACGTTGTGTATCAAATCCGTATAAACATGAGTAAAATCCAGATTACTATGATTTATTTCCATAAGTATTAGATCGTAAATTATATGAAACAGGTACTTACATCCAGTTGATTTTGTACGATCTTAGGTCGCTTCTTAGGCTTCCGTGGCAGTCGCCGTTCCCCCATGTCCTCGAAGTCCTTCTCCATCTCCCGACGTGAAAGCGGAACAGAAAACTTTGGTCTAGCCTTTTCTCTCCTCTCAATTCCCTCAGCGCCACCGCATCCGCCGCTATTATCTACACCCGAAGACGAAGGTCGTTTGAATTGTTCCTCCTCATCAAGCTCTTTCTTAAAATTGAGTATTATCTTCTCCCAATTCGCCTCCATGTCTCCATCTTTAGCTTTTAATTTAAGTACCAACGCATCAACCACCGCCTGAGACGGTGGCCAAATTTCTAATTGCTCATCTACCGCCAAGTTACCGGCGACTTCAATTGAATTCGAATTATTCGCAGTGCATTTGGAAAGATTCGGTTGGGTTGTAAGCTTCGAAGAAGAAATGGTGGAATTGCTGGACGAGTTGGATTTCTCCAGCATTATTATGAATCGAATCAGATTTGATTGGATTGATTGGATTTCAAGGTTTTTGATTCTTGGTTGATGCGAAATTTGTCCCGGAGCTTTCCAGCTAGGTTTTCCGGCGAAAAGGATATTTGGGAGCCCAACCAAGACTATAAAGCCCAGCTAATAACTTACTCATCACAAAATAATATTTTTTTTCCCCAAATGAAATAGTTTAATGCTCTTTAAAGAGGAAATTACAAATTTAGTCCCTGAACTATCCCTCATTATGCAAATTTAAGTTTCTTACAATTGAATCTTGAGTAAACATAAAGGAATGGTCCATGTATTTATATATCATTGTTAGGTTCAATCTAAATTTAGGAATTTCTTTTGAAAGGGGTCCACATTGACATGTATGATTCTAAATCTGGTCTCACCATTTTAATACCAATTTAGTTTTATTAAGTCATTGTTAAATGACAAAACTGCATAAATGGTCCCTGTGATATGTCGAAAATTGCTACTTTGATCCAAAAAGGTTTTGACTAACACCACAGGTCCAAAATTTTCATTTTGTTGCAAGTTTGGTCCAATCTGTTTTGAATTTTTATAAAATGATGATTTTACCCTTTGTATTTTCATTATTTATTTATTTTTTAAATTACAAAAACTAAAAAAGGGAAAAAAAATCTAGTTGTATTATCACCCCCACCCCATATTTTTATCTCTCCCATTTAGAAAAAGGAAACACCACCGGATTCTGGTGGCTGCCGGAGCACTGTCGTCCGACCACTAAAACCACCGTCGACGTTGGAACGCTAGAACTATCCAGCGCCGACTTCGCCAGAGAAAAAAAAACTGAGATCTGAACCTCCAAAGACCATCATTCTTCTTTCTTTCTGCTGCTACGATGGCCATCTCTCTCCCTTCTACTGTTATGAACCACTTGTCGGACCATCCAAATCACTACCGATGACGAAGATCTAAACATCTCGCCGCCTCGACGGAGATCTAGATTTGCTGGTTGTTCGACAAGAAAAAGAGAGAGAAAGAGGGTGAAAACATATATGAAAACTTAGGGTTTCGTAAAACTATAAGGGTGGCGACGCTAGGGCTTTTGCTATGTAGACACCACGTTGGAGAAGAAGAGAGACGAGCAGCTTGATGGTTCCGATGTCTGAAACTAGAGTTTTATCGAGCCACAGACGTCATCGTCATCGCCGATGACGAACAGATCGAAGGCGTCGTCAGATGAGAAGATAAAAGACAAAGGCGATGATGGTTCCGACGAAAAGCAAATAGAAAGAGGGAGAGATTGAGTCCGGTTTCCGACAGATCTACTTCGTCCTTAGGAGGGTTTCTTGTTCACCGGAAAAACAATTTCTCATATTTTGCAATTAATTTCTCGATTTCTGGCAAACCCGACTCAATTCATCTATCTTCTGAGTTCGTCCTTCGCCCTTTGCCCCTTTCTCAGATCTATGGCACCAGAAACCCTAGCCTCAAATATCGAAACCCGCTTCATCGGAAGCCTCCATCGCCGGTGGTGGTGGCTGGTGGTGAAGGATATGAGCAACTTTTTGTGTGAAAGGGGAGAGAGAGAGAGAGAGAGAGAGAGTTTGCATTTAATTTTTTTTTGTTATAAAAAATATAAAAATAAAATAAAAAAAGGAAAATTTTCTTTTTTATTTTTCTTTTAATCAGAAAAAATCTTTAAATAATAAAAAACTGAAAAAGGAAAAAGCAAGGGTAAATTTATCATTATAAAAAAGTTCATAGCAAATTGGACCAAACTCGCAACAAAATGAAATGTTTGGATCTCTGGTGCTAGTCCAAACATTTCTGGACCAAATTAACAATTTTGAGCAAACCACATGGACCATTTTATCATTTTATCTCTACTTTATATCTTAGCTATTTTATTGCTATTAAATATGTTACAATACGTTTTTAAGTGTTATTTTTTTTTAAATATTAAATCAATTTAGATTATTATTCTTTACCTATTATAGTCTTCGATCATTTTGTAAATATATTTTGTCAATAATAATCAAACACGACATCTTTTTTCTTGTTTTGAAAAAAAATCAAATCTTAATGTCGAAAAATTATCAATAACACTACAAACATCAACATAAAAAATAGAAAAATTATGAGCCAAAACAAAAAATTTGCTAAATGTGATGGTGTTTAATTTATTGAAAAAAATAGAAGTTAAAGGGTTTTTTTCGGAAAAACAATTGTGTGAAGCCAGCGGTTAAACTTATTAAAATGGTCAAATGGAAGCATATGAAAATACATAAAAGTTTTGTAGAAAAATAAAATAAGTTGAGGTTGAATTCGGAAGAAAAACCAATATATAGGATCTTTTATATAATTAATCCAAAGTAATATATTATTATAATCGGTAAATGATCTTTGATTCCATCGTTACCTTGAACGACAATGTTATAAAGGTCAATGGTTGCTAATTTACTCAATCTCTCTTAGGATAAAAAAAATGGAAACAGTGGGTAAAGTTGTAATCGCCATTGTTATAGCTGTGATAATAAGCCGAGGATGGAAAGTACTGAACTGGATATGGTTGAAGCCGAAGAAGCTAGAGAAGTGGCTGAGAGATGAAGGGTATAAAGGTAATTCATACAAGCTTCTAATGGGTGACATGATTGAGCTTGGAAAGATGATGAATTTAGCGAAAAAAGATCCAATTCCAATCACCCATGATATCCTTCCACACATTCTGCCCTTCGATCACAAGATCATCTCCACATATGGTATTAGTTAATTTCTTCTATCTTTTTCTCCATTATAATATTTTAATTATTCACATCTATCAAAATAATCACAAAAAACTTAAACTTTAAACAACTGATTATCAGATTCTTTGATGTTGAGCATGATGTCACACATGACATCATCATATTTGTATATATATATATATATATATATATATATATATATATATGTTGGAAAAAAATAAATTTTATATGTATATATCTATTCGAGGTTTTTTTATGTTTAGATTTACTAGCTTAAATCTTTTAATTTAAACAAAAACTCTAAATTCCAAACTTGACAAGTTACTTTTGTCCAACATTATATACAAACAAAATTACAAATTTCATCTTACAATAACAATATCAGTATCAGTATCAGATCAGTATCAATATCAGTATCGGTATAAGGTCAAACTTTATTGTTAATGATTTGATAGGTGAAAAATCATTTCTATGGTTGGGGCCAAACCCAAGGATGTATATTAGGGATCCAGAGTTGATAAAGGAGATTTTATTAAGACCAAACGAATTCCAAAAGCCACATCCTGAGCCATTTCGAGATAGCATCGTTGGTGGGCTTCTTATCACCGAGGGTCATAAATGGAGCAAACATCGGAAAATAATCAATCCAGCTTTCAATCTTCAAAATCTCAAGGTAGGTGTATATAACTATATATCTTTCTTTTTAGATCATTTTGATGTGCAAAATCTAAATCGATGGATTGATTATTGATATATATATCTGCATGTAGACCGTGTTCTCGGTTATCTGCTCGAGTTGTAGTGATATGGTGAATCAATGGGAGCATCTAACAATGGAAACAGGTTCGACTGAAGTTGACGTATGGCCATATATAGATAATTTAGCAGGTGATGTGATTTCGAGAACAGCATTCGGGAGCTCTTATGAAGAAGGAAGGAAGATTTTCCGAATCCAGAAGGAACAAATCGAGCTTGTATTCAAAATGTTGTTTATACTTTATCTTCCCGGACGAAGGTAATTAATTAACAGCAATGGTGATCTATGATCTAGTAATGTGAATCATAATTCATGAATATCCATGTTCAGTTAATTCGTTTTGAAATTTAGGTTCATACCCACGAAAGCGAACAGGAAGTATAAAGAAAACATTAAAGAGCTTCACGTTGTGCTTAGTGGTATCATTAACAAGAGGAAGAAAGCGATTGAGATTGGAGAAGGTAGCTGCGATGACTTACTTGGAATTCTGCTAGAATCAAACGCGAAAGAAATTGAAGAATTTGGAGTCGGATTGAGTATGGAAGAAGTGATGGAAGAATGTAAACTATTTTACATCGCTAGATCTGAAACAACTTCGAATCTAATCGTTTGGACGATGGTTTGTTTAAGTTTGCATCAAGAATGGCAAATCAAAGCTCGAGAAGAGATCCTGCAAGTTTTCGGCACAGGAGAACTTGATTTCGAAGGTCTAAAGAATCTCAAAACCCTAACGATGATTCTCTACGAGGTTCTTAGGTTATACCCACCAGTAATCATGACAATTCGTTCGACTATCAAGGAAACGAAGCTAGGGAACATGATGATACCTCCCGGTGTGCTATTGGCGTTAGCAATGATATATATTCATCATGATCGGAAAGTATGGGGGGATGATGCGACGGAGTTCAGACCGGAGAGATTTTCCGATGGGGTCGCGATTGCAACAAAGGGGAAAGGGTTTTTCCCGTTTTCAAGTGGTCCTCGTGTTTGTATTGGGCAGAATTTTGCTATGACGGAAGCAAGAGCAGCCATGGCGATGATTCTCCGGCGATTCTGTTTTGAGCTTTCGCCGACTTATAAACATTCCCCGTTCCCGGTGTTCACAATGCCACCGCAGTTTGGTGCTAATATGATTCTTCGGAACCTCTCGTAGCTTGAATTTTGTAGACTACAAATTTGCAAAACATTCATAAATAAGTTGCATTATTAAATGAGATTTTCTAAAGTTAATCATAATAATTATTATAATTAAATGTTAATCACATTAATTATAAGAAATATTATCATAATTAAATATAAAATTCATTAATAATCTCTATAATTAATGTATTTCACATTTAATTATAGTAATAATTATGATTAATTAATACTTATTATATGGATCCTTAGGGCACATATTAGAAAATCCCTTATTAAATTACAAAAAAGGATAACGAGTTTTAAATTTACTTTGATTTTGCTCTTAAATCTTTTATTATTATTTATTTATCATTAAATTATTAAAATTGTCCATATTCAAAACATCATGATTAGTAACAATAGATTATAAGGTTAAAACGTGAACAGTTTTAATAGTTCAGTGACAAATTGATAATAGAAAAGTTTAGTAATTAAATACAAACAAAATCGAAAATTCGTTTCCCTCTAAAAAAAATTCAATTAGTAGATATGAACAAACTTTTCTCTTGTATTATGATTTAACAAATTATGTATTTTTGTTAAATTTTAACAATATTTGTTGATGAAGAAGAAAACCCCGAAAAAGGTATATAAAAATGAAAAACCAAACCAATATTATATGTATAAGTTTTATGTTATAAAACTATGCAATATTATATGTATAAAAATTATCATAATATTATATGTATGAATTTTGTGTTATAAAATTATGCAATATATAAATTAACATACATTAAATCATATACGTCGTTTATAAAAGAATGCATACATACATTGATATATTATATATGTTGTTATATTCTATGTATTGACTTACATCATATTAATATATTTACTATTAAAAATGATATAAAAAATGAAAGTAAGGTTGTTTAGAATTTAGATATTTAATTTACCCGAACAATTGATTTATATTTAAGATTGTATTTTCTTACAAAATTTGAATAATTACTGAAATTTATAATTATTTAACTAGACATATAGAGTTAAGTAAAACCGGCAATATGTTTTATGAAGTGTTGCGTCCAAACCATCGCATCCATATTACCTTTACAAAACTATTTTTTTTAAGAAAAAAATAGCTATATATTCACTATTTTTTTTCTTTCGAAAAAGTCACTCATAATTTTAAAAGGTTTTAGAAAAAAAAACAACTCATATTTAAATAACTATTTTAAAAAAAAATAAGGTTTTTAATTTTTTTCTTCAAAATACAACGTAATTTATAACTATGAAACACAATTTCTTAATAGATATGAGTGAGAATTGTTCATTTTTTTGTTAAACTAAAATCATATTAGAATTTTTTATTTTTTATTTTGGAAAATACCAAACCATTGGTTTTTTATTTCGGTTTCGGTTTTTTTGTTTGTTTTTTTTTATTTATAAAATTTTCATATATTTTTCGGGGTTTTGTTTTTCTAATTTATAGATTTCTTTATCAACAAATGTTGCTAGAATTTAACAAAAATAAAAAATTTGCTAAAACATAAAGAAATTTGTTCACATTTAGTTATTGAACTTTTTTTAGAGAGAAAAAAACTTTCGACTTTGTTCATATTTAGTCGCTAATTTTTTTTCATTATCCATTTGTCACTGAACTATTGAAATTGTTCACATATTAGCCTTATGACCGGTAACAAGCGTTGATAAGGATAAAATGGGAACAGATTCAATAATTCAGCGATAAAAAAATAATGAAATAAAGTTTAGTGACTAAATATGAATAAAATCGAAAATCTGTTACCCTTTCAAGTCATTATCTCTTACTAATAATAACCATGTAGTATACTTGTATATAAAAAATTATTATGCATTCACATAAATATTAATATTATATGATGTTAGTGGGGTATTCAACTTAAACAAACATATGGCAAAATAATCTAATCGAAAAAAATTGGTTACTATAGGGTATCCAATTATAATATTAACTTGGTAATCCAAAAGTATAATTAATTAATTAATTAAAAACAATATTGACTATGAATCGAATATCTTAAAAAACATCGAAAAAATAATATACTAAACCATGCATGAGAGGAGAATCGTTGGTTTGATTGATGAACTACATGGGAAATACGAGATTAGGCATGTCGTTATCTTCCCCAAAACATGCCATGTGGATTGGGATATGGCTAGCACAATAGTTATGTTATGATGATATGTTTCATTCCATTAAAATTAGTCTATGGTTTGAAGTGTCTTTTCTTTAAGCATTTGTACACAGAGAGAGCATCATGTAGCGTGAAAGAATCCAAATGCAAGAAAGACAGAGCACAACCTCTATGGTCCATTCCTTTCCTAACTATAATGGAACTTACCCGAAGGAAATCTTCTATCTTCTTTTCGGAAAGGAGTTTGATTTCGATTCACATAAATAGGACAGTAAATTATAGAAATGGTCCTTTTGGTTTGGTTGAATTCGCAGTTATGGTCCTTAGTTTAAATTTTGATAGGTTATATCATTGTGGTTTCTAAAAATTGCACTGCATGTCTTTGCTCCATATAAAAAGATCAAATTATCATTTCTTTCTTTTGTCTTTTTAGTTAGACAAAATTACAAAAATGATCCATATGGTTTGTCAAAAGTAACAAACTTAGTCCCTATCTATTTTTTTTTGATGCATTTGGCCATTGTGGTTTGTAAAAGTTGCATTGGAGGTCCTTTTTCATAACACCGTCAATTTTATCCGTTTGGAGTCATTAAGTTGGGGGTATATTCATCTTTTTACATTTGCTTCTCCACCCCCTTTAATAAGCCCTAACCAACGTTCACAAAAATCAAGCTAGCATCTCTGAAAGATTGAAGCTCTCATCTCTTGCAAGAATGGTGATTTGTACGTGTGGAAGTGTTGCTGTGAGAGTCACATCTTGGACGGACCTCAACCCAAGAAGGCGATTCTGGTCTTGTGCTTGAAATGGTCGAAGTTATCCATTTCTTGGGTGGGTGGACGATCCGATGTGCCATAGAGATGTAGTGGTGATTCCTGGCTTGCTGAGGAGAATGAACAATGTTCAAATGATGTTGATTCAAGCTCGTGAAGATGTTGTGAAGCTCAAGTGGATGCTTATTCTGTATTGGTTCCTTTTTTTCGTTTATATACGTATGCACTAAGTAGTAGTTGGATTTGGGGATGTATTTGGTCAGTATATTTTGGATATGTAATGTCGGATGGTGTGTAGAACTGGAATGGGATATTACAAGTTGATGTTGGGATGGGATGTCATGTATTAGAATCTTAATGTAATGTATGGTTTTAGTTGTGTCCATTTATCAAAGATTGGAATGGAATGAGTTGTGTCCATTTATCAAAGATTGGAATGGAATGAGAAAAATACAAAATCAAAACCCTATAAGTAAACAATGGAATGGAATGTGTTTTGGTCATTTATCAAACAATGGAATGGAATGAGTTTTGGACATTATCAAACAATGGAATGGAATGAGTTTTGGTCATTATTAAACAATGGAATGGAATGAGAAACACACCATATCAAAACATGATAACTGAGATCATTATAACCAGAAATGTAGCATGACATATGGCTAGTATCAACTTAATTACATCACTAATTTAGGTAGTTGCAAAAAGATGTAATTATCTAGATTAAACATGTTTTAACAAAAGCATCAACACAAGTTTATAATCTTAAACAAAAGGTATCCAAATAACTTGATTAGTCATGCTTTCATCTGTATCCAACTTCACTTAGGTCCTACTTGAGGCTTTTTTTCCCTTGTCTATCTTCTTTGCTCTTAACCCACCCATGACATTTTCACTTGATCCACCCACTGAACCTTGACTTTTTCCACCAACTGCATCTTTACTTGATCCACCCACACCACCTAGACTTGATCCACCCACTGCTCTCTGACTTGACCCCCCTTTCCCTTTACATGTTCTAGAGTTATGACCTTTGTTATGACACTTGGAACAAGTAACAGTCAAGAATTTCCTAGATAGGTTTTTTGACTGGTTAGTAGGCTCATCTATAGCCCTCCTCCTCTTTTTCTTTGGCCTTCCAACCTACAAAAATATTAAGGAAATGTTAAAACTGGATGAATAATAAACTATTTTAACTAACATTCAACTTACTTGTGTGTGATGTGTAGGTGGTATAAGAGTGGTTGGACATCTAGATTTTGGCTACATGCTCCTGCCATTGATTGGATCTATTTTTTTACAGTACATTGCCCTCCATGTTTCTAGCTTATAACAAGGATGCACCCAATATTCAGGTTGTTTGGCTTTTTCACCATTTTGAATATGTTCCCATATTGCACAAACTCCATGCCTGCAGACTATCCCTGTTATCTCCCAGTACCTACAACTACATGTACCCTCTTTCAAGTTGACTACATACTGATCAAACATCATACCAGTCACTTGATATTTTCCAGAACCACAGAAGAGTGCTGTAACGCCCGTAGATCCAGGCTAGTCAATTTAGAGGCAATAAGGATCAAAAACGACTTTTTGACAAAAGATTATTTAGAATAAATAATCTTAACCAAGTTGTAGAATATGTTACAAGGTTTCGTACATATAAAGAACGCCGAAATACGAGTTATAACGAAGAAGTTATGACCCGTTGAAGTTTCACGACGGAACCGGTACGATACCGGGAAGCATAAATAGTGAATTTACGATAGAGCGATATTTAGCCTTAGCGATCTAAACAAAAGTCGTAGAATATGTTAAACTAAGAACATCGATAAAAAGAACGCCCAAATCTGACTTCGTATGAAGAAGTTATGATTTTTCGAAGTTTCGGACTAGCAATGTACAACCCGAAATTCGAATATTTGATCGAGAAGTTTTTAGCCGACATGACCTAAACGAGAACCAGAGATCTCGTTAAGAGTAGCGTAACGAGAAAAAGATGGGCGAAAACGGATTTCGGATGAAGAAGTTATGAGGATTTAACGGACTAATCCTGTCCCGGCCCATTAATAATATAAAATTTAAAATCGATTCAAAATTAGCCGACGGAGTCTAAACGAAAGTTATAGAGTATGTTCCCACCTTCGCGTGGATATAAATAACATCGAAAATGGAGCTTGTATGCGAAAGTTACGAATTTTTAAAGTTGAGTGTGCAAATTGCGAAAGCTGATGCGAGATGGATGACGTGGCTGCATCTGGGCCGTCGCTTGTTGACCAAGGCCTTGCTTCGGATGGGTGACAGCTGGCTCGCTACGCAGCGCGTAAAATAAGAGAACGCCCCGCGTTCGGAATCGCTTGGTTTCGGAAGGACCACGTCGCACCAAGGAGGCTCAGACAAGTGGCTGTACGAACGCGTAGCATAAGGCCAGAACGCCCTGCGTGCGAGATACGCCCCGCGTACCCTCGCAGGAACGCCCAGCGTAGACCGAGGCTCGTGCCTATAAAAGGGGTGTGAACCCTTCCGACTTTTTCACACATTTCTTCATTCTCTCTCTAAGAACTTTCTCTCTCTAGCCCCTTTTGAGTCCCCTAAAGTCTAGGTGAACCTCTAGCACCCTAAGGAAGCCCCGAGGCTCCCGGAGTCCCGAGAAAAAGAGTCTTTCGGTTTCGAAATGCTGCTCCAATTAAGTTCCGATTTTCAATAAAATTCGCTGTAAGTGTGCTACGCTTACGTAGTTTTTAATATAGCTTTCGAATAATTATAGGAATGTTATTAGGTCCTTAAAATAATTATTTGGGCTATTATTATGGGTTATATTGAGTGTTATTAACACCTATATAATAATAGTAATAGTCAGACTAATTACTTTGTCGCGGTTATCGTTAGACTAAACCCTAGTGGTATTGGTACTAGGTTTTATCGAAGGAAATTGTTTTGAGAGTATCGAAGCGCTGTCCGAGTGCTGAGTCACCACCTTTCAGGTGAGTGCATAGTTCCCTTTCATCTTACACATAGATACGAAGTATTTTATATAAATTACGTGCTATGCGTGCATATTATCTGAGTACTTGTTGTCTATGCTAAATGAACGATTTTATACATGTTTTAAATGATTTAAACTGTATATGTATTTTTTATATCTACGATAATGTTGGGGTAAACATGGGTAGATATAATAGATGGAATATGAGTTGAATGATGAGTTGAGAGGTGTTATAGACCACGAGGTGAGGGTGAGAGGTGGATAATGTGAGAAGCCTTTTTCCCAAATGATGGCCCCGTCATTCAGCAGAGTATGGATGGCAACCACAGATTATTCTAGACAGTCAGTGGAACACTAGCAGGCTCGCAACCTGTAGGTGTTGTGAACGATGTGTTCACTCGGTGTACTCTAAACCTTGGTGATCATGCAGACTTGATGCCTAAACCCTTTTGATCATGCAGACTTGATGCCTAAACCCTGGTGATCATGCATACTTGATGCCTAAACCTTGGCGATCATGCAGACTTGATGCCTAATCCCTGGCGACTATGCAGACTTAGTGCCCGTTGTGTAAACCGTGGTTATGATGTACTTTGTGCCGATTCCTTAGGATAATCTTTAGGAACGAATGAACGAGAAATAGCTGATTCTTAGGGTAGATCCTTAAGAGTAAAGAAGATAATGGGGATGGGTAATTGGGTTTAATTTCTTGATTGATTAAACATAATAATTATATTATTATGGGTTGAAAACCCTATGTACTCACCAGGTTTCCCAAACTGACCCACTCAGTTCATTTATATCATAGGTGTTGATACGGAGTCACTTTACACTGAGAGATTTAAAGAGATGTAGATCACTAGTGTAAATAAATGTAAGTTCTGTTTATGCTTATGTTTCTGTATTAACGATGACATCCCAAACATTTTGAAATGAATAAAATACGTTTCTTCGAAAATGTTTTAATAACGTATTTATCATGTATTTCTGGGAACAAATTCCGCAACATTTTTATTAAAAGAGGTACTCTGATTTTTATAAAGCATAAACAAAGTCGGTCTTTTCTGGCCGTGAAAATGGGGATGTCACAAGTGCCCTATATTTGCTTGCAGCTGTTTTGATTGTGTCAAGTATAGTAGTTGCAGTAGGGGTTAATAGACTTTTGCATTTATCAATTTCTTTTTGTACAATGAAATGTCTCTTCATCAAGTACACTCTTATGTACTCCAAACATGTAATTATAGGATTGTCCCTTCCATGCTCTAGCTTAAAGTTGAATACTTCACACAAATTGTTTAAAAGACAATCTGAATGGGCTCTACCTGAGAAATGAGACCTAGCCCAATGAACTGGAGGAATCTTACTTAGCCATTCATGAGCCTCTGCACTGAAATCTTTGAACTCATCCATTGACCTTTCAAAGTGCCTAATGGTTGTATGTGTAGCACACCTCCATAAGTGATCTCTAAACTCTTCTCCCCTCCATTGCAACTTCATGTTTTCATGTATATGTCTCAAAAACCATCTATGCTCTGCATTTGGAAACATTTTTGCTATTATAGGTATTATGCCCTACATATAATGTAAATTATAGTTAGTATTGTTACAAGCTTTAAAAGATACTTATGTTATATGTATTCATACCTTTTGTCTGTCAGATACAAAAGTGAAGTTGCATGATGCATCCAAATCCAAGGCATTCTAAGAACCATGTCCATGAACTTGTTGTCTTAGCTTCCATAACTGCATAAGGTAGTGGATATATTCCATTGTTGGAATCAAGACCTACAGCTGTTAGAATTTGTCCAGGGTGTGATCCTTTCAAGAAACATCCATCCAATCCTAATAATTCCCTTTTTCCAGATTTGAACCCCCAACTTAAGTGCTCCAAGACAAATGTATATCCTCTTGAAAATACGAGTTTGAACATTAGGATTTGGTTCATTACACACTTCTAGCTTCACTGTTGTACCTGGGTTATGGTTTGTAACTCCGAATAGTAATCTCTCAGCAAATTATATTGCCTTTCGTAGTCACCATACAGTTGTTCCTTTGCAATCGATTTAGCCCTGAACACCTTCATTCTTGATATGCTTAATTCCAAATCCATTTGAAGCTCTTCTTGTAGGGCTGTTACTGGGATGCGAGGGTTAGAATCCACTTTTTGGAGAATAGTGCTTGCAAGATATCTAGATGTACATGCCTTCACATTTCTACTTTGTAAGCATAAATGCTCATCAATAACTATCTTCACCAACCATTGTTCCTCTTCCATAGATCTAGATATCTGAATAGCAAAAGGACAAGAATCTTTTTGTGAAATTACAGTTTTACCCTTCGATGTGGCTTTACTTATAGTGGAGGGCCCACCATCAGTGGAATCTGGAACCACCCCTTTACAATTAACTCTTACTCTCAATTTTTCATTTTTTGCCATGTGTAGGGCCCTCCTTGTTTTTATTGAAAGCATTTTCGTGTGACATTGTATATCTTTTTTGGTTTTAAAAGCTTGACTCACAAAAAATGGTGTAACATGAACTACCCCAGAAGAACAAGGCACATTCTTGTTCAGGTTTTTTAACATTCTCTTCCTTAGGTCTTCCTCATATCCTGCACTTTCAAACTCATCATTGTTGATCACACCTAAATCATCATCTTGATTTAAATCTAATTCTATGTTTGGACCTTGTCCAAACCATTCAATCTCATCCACACAACTGTGAAACTCTCTCATGTCAACCTCCCAATCATCTAAAATAGCTTCTGGGTCAACAATGTAGTCAGAATCATCATCTTCTTCTGTATGCTCTTCTAAATCATCTTTTGAATCCTCTGCACACCCTTGTTCATCTTCTTCATCCTGTTCTTCTTCAGCTTCAACCTCTCTTTCAAACTCACCTATATTCTGATATCCATCACTACTAAAAGGCTCAAAATCATCTAGCATTTCCCTATGATTCTGGCAATTAATATCAACTGTAATTTCTTGCATTGTATCAGTTTCTTCTGGTACAGGGAAATACGAATCATCCTTAAACTCATTAACCATGTCTTGTTTGTTTGGCTCAAAAGGAACTAGGGACATGGAAAAATCATACACACCATCTTCTCTCTGAGCTTGATTAGCTGATTCTTTAAGTGGGACATTCATGTCTAATTTCTTGCTACACGAAACAATTCCCTTCTTCTTAGGCCTAATCCTATTAAGCTCAGGAGAAGGATCATCATCCAGTTGCTCAATAACAACTTTAATTGGGGACATGAAGTAAGTATGAAGTCTTGTAGAACCATGTTCAACGTACACATTAATCACTCTGTTTTGAGGGACAAATTGAGTCATAGATATAACGTCTTGATCATTTCCTAGAGCCTTCAATCCAAAATCTAAGTCTAGATTAGGAATTCTATAATGATAGTACATTGTGTCATCCGCAGAATACCCTATCTCACAAATCATGTCATTTAGATCATGAACTGAAAAAAGATCAGTGTCAACAAAGTCATAGAATGCCAACCTTCCCTCAACGTACTTTCTTCCTGGGAACTTTGAAAAAAATCCACCATGATGTATTTTTAAAGTGAAGAAATTGTCGTGACCATCTGAAAAAGAAAAATGATGAGCCTTGAATATATACTGATGGGTTTTGGTCATAAGACATCCTATGTGCTCATACAAACCCTAATGCTTGGATCTAGGTTTCTCTATTGTACATGCTTTGAATCCAAGACTATAAACCCTAATTATAGCATGCAAGTAATCATATTAACATGTAATTAGGTTTAAGAACATACCTTGATTGTTATATAGCAATAATAATCACAACTCCACCTTGGATTGACTTTGGAATGCTTAGAGTCACAAGTGTCACTCCTCTTATGGCTTACAAACACCATAAGCAAATGGAGAAGGTATAAAGAAAGAGGTGAGAGGTTAGAATTCATATCTAGGACCTCTTGGGAAGGGATACACGAATTCATGACCCTAGGGGTGTTTATATAGGTGTAGAGATAGGGTTTCAGTCATTATCCTTATCTAGTTGATTATCCATTAAGCAACCAATAAGATAATCCTTGAATCCTTATCATACTCGAATTCTAAGGCTTTCCAACCTTAAATTCGTCCACCATATAAATAAGATAATCCTTACCTTATTTTGTAACTATCACATAATTACAAATCAGCCCCTCTAGTTTAATTAATTACATTTGATCACAAAACTAATTCTTAATTAATTATTGACCAATATTAATTAAACAAATATGATTTCTCCTTTAATATATTATTCTTATAACATATTAATAAATCATATTATCCTCTCTCTCTTTATTCATTTCTCCAATCAAGTTGCTTTGGTGAAGGCAACCCAAAAGGACCATGCACCATCGGGTCAAGTACATACCAAAATAGTTATGGACTTAGACACTAATCCAACAGTCTCCCACTTGGATAAGTCTAACAACTATTCTGCGTATGACTTCAGATCCTGATCTGCAATCGTAGCTTTCCAAAGCCGCTGTCAACTCTGATCATATCAGATACGCGTGTCCTTAGATAAGGGATCATATATTCCTCCATTCTAGATATCGTATGAGATATGATTTCAAATCATTCTCTTTGTACTATATCTCGATTTCCGATTTATGACGACAGACTAATTGAACAAATCAAATTAGCCCTAGCCCGGCCGAGCATTTACGTATGTCATCACTAAACCATCGAGGGGCCCAAAGATATCGCTTTTATCCTACTTTGGATAAAAGGAACGGATAAACTTTGATACAATGCTCGCTTGCACTCACTCACCGAATTACACACAACAATATGTTTTATAACACCAAGTTACTGGTGCGTTTACATATTATCAATGTGCAACCGATTCAGCAAGATACAACTCACACATCTCGGTTTCAAGAATATAAGATGTTATCGTCTCACTAATCACTCGAGATAGTGATCCAAGTGAGCGTGGGTTTAATCCAATGCTCAAATCATATTCATAAGCACTCATGAACGTTGCAGCAAACATTTGCTTATGTCTAATACTCTTTTAGACAATCCACACACCAATTCACGACAGTCTTCATTCATATCTACTTCCAACATATGAACGACTGTGGCCCGTTTGAATAATTCGATTATTCTTAATAAACTCAATTATTCTGGAAGTCAAAACATGCAAAGTGAAACACAAGAATAATACTAATCCCATATGGCCTCAAACCTTTGAGTATAAACAAAACACGTTTTATTTATCACCATATCGATTACTCATTATTTGTCGTTTCGGGTAATCAACTTTTACTTGAATCATTACACTTGTCCCATGCTCCTAGCATGCACACAATGTTTACCTATGGTTCTTACTTTTGTGAAATAGACAAATTGAACACATTTCCAATCATTCTCATTTTACAACTCCAAATCCATTTTCTTAAGTGTAAGAATATCAAATTCTTGTTACTTATAGAATATACTAGATTCTAACACTTTATGCAACGATCCTTTTGTAATGTCACTGCACCAAAGTCTCAAAGACTATTGCCAATGATATTACAAAGTCCTCTATCGGAGATTGTTACAAGACAATTCCTTAGATATGATGTCTCTCACTCAAAGTACATTCCTTTGAACATCCTTTTGCATAAAAGTTTCTAATCTAGACATAGATTTTCAATATTCTTCCCAATATGACACATTCCATATTTTCCATATGACAACTATTTTTAATAGAATCTTATCTATTCGTAATATGTCGATATGTCCATCCAATATGGAAACATTTCCATAATTTCCAATACTATACTTCCAACTACTCACAAGCGACCAATCCTCGTCGAACTTTGGATTGTCCTTTGATAGTTGTTTAATTATTTTAGTCAAAACCGATTCTAGTCCCTTTTCCCTCTAAATGCGCTAGACATTTGGAAAATTTTAGAATGGTCAAACATTAAAGCATTTGCAATCGATCCTATACCCGAAGCGTATGGGACACGACGCACAATGTTTTATTTGCTATGTTCTCAAAATTCGAATTGTGAAGAGGAATGCCGTAATCATAATCGAAATTTTAAGAACACACTATGTACCTTGACTAAATTTATTAACATTTCACAACCTAATCCTTTAGATTTGAAATGAAGCATAATATTCTCTCCCTTAATTATAGCAAAACAACCTTTCAACTCTTACAACTTTGCAAAGTATGACTCTTGTTTTCTATAATTAATATTGCCAACTATGCAATACTTGCCTTAATAATCATACAATCATAACATTTATGCTCCCACTATCATGATGATTATTATAAAACATAACACTTATGCTCCCACTAGCTTCGACATGTATTCATAAACATCTTAACTTTCAGAAAAACAATACTTATTGAATTTCTTAAGTTCATGTTTCTAATACTTAGTGCTTTGATAATCTTTTATCAAGGCTTCTTGAACTTATACACTTTTGCCTTAGATAGTTCATATGTGTGTCTTAACAATTAAGACTAATTGCCAAACCTCACAATTCAAATTATGGAAAGGGATGCCGTAACCATGATCGAATTCGAGAATGCAATTTTACAATCACTATCTTTTAAAATCTTTCTTAGTGAAAGCATTTTCTCACAATCATTTTCATGAAGGAGGAAATCTTATGACACTTAGATTTAAACGGTGTATGTGTTCCTATCCATGTGAATTTGTTAAAACCAAAGTTTACGACAAATTCAAACTCATATGGATCGAACTTTCTTAATCTTGATTTCTTGCCTTATGGTAGCACAGCTGCCCACCACGTCTTCCAAGTAGTTAAGCAGCTCACCTTTTCCTATCAATGTACTTTCCATTGATCAAGGTCCTTGCCTTTTATGCATTCAAATGAGAACTCATAGGACTCACATGCATAATTAACTCGATTGGATTGGCACAGAAACAAAATAATGTCTTCACGATAGGTTGTAAACCTCAACTCGTGTGCTAGTGATGATCGATAAGGTTATTTGATTTGTTCTTGAAACTTTTCAAGACTATTAAGACTCCCACTGACTCCTTGACATATACGATTCTCTTATCAAAACATTTCTTGACAAACAAATATTCAAGAGTTAGTGTAGCTTATATCAAAACAAAACACTTCATAATTTTGGTCTTAGTTGGTCTTTGTCTTATCCAAGACATCACAACTTTCCACAATTGATGAATGTTATAAACCTTCTTAATACTATTCACTCAATGTCACAATCTTGACTTTAAGACTTGTTTTGGAACGAAGTATGATTGACTTCTTGATTTGACCATTTCTTCAATCTTTGATTCCTCTTCTTGGACATACAATTGTACCAAGACTCATTAGAGGATCAATTGAGATATGGTTCTTAATCATTAAGACCTATCATAAAGCATAAAAGCTACTCTCCCTTCTTCTTAGAATGGAGAAACTCTTATCTTTCTGCCTACTTGATTCTTCTTATTCGTTTTGCTATTGATCTAAACCCTTTAATCAATTCAAAATTACACTTAATCTTGTAAGTGTAATCATATTTACTAAGCCTTTAGTAAATCATGACGAATATCTTTGTTACTCTTATGGTGAACTTGATCAACACACAACTTTGTGTACTCGATCTCCTAGTCCTTCACTTGACACTTTGTCAATGAATTAGTCTAATTTCCAAATACGAAATTTCTCATTCATCGTGCATCCACGTTGCATGATTCCAAGTTTCTGTCCAATTGAAACTTGGGCGATGAGAAACTCTCCCTATTTGGTAAATTCTCGACATTTCCATAAATAACATAACTAAGAATCATATCCATTCGTTGTAGAAATATGCAAACATCAATTTTCATAACGATTTCATTGCAAGGAAGTAAACAAATAAATAAGTAAGTCAAAATTTATTTTATTTATAAAAGCAGCGGAAAAACATTTGTCCTTACAATGCAAAATCTATTGAAAACTATGTAAAAAAAATTTCTAACAACTCTATCATAACTATCTAAGCTCAAAATCCAATCTTCAAGTCCATGCGATCAAGATCCATCTCTTGTGATTAGATTCATCTTGCTCTCTTATCAAGCTTCCTTTCTTTTCACCGATCCTTCAAAACATTCAAATGCAATCTTATCACATCATGTATTAAGAATCAATGAATAGGAACTTAATGGAGTTAGATAGTGGATTCTTACCTAAAGCGTAGTCATACTTTTGACTCTCCCATCTCTTAGATCTCTTAGGTAAATAGGGCAACTTCGTCTCCAATGCCCCTTCTCTTGGCAATAAAAGCAAATTGACTCCTTTGGAACAACACATGGAACTACTTCAGACATCGCCTTTCTCTTATGATCAAACTTTTCGATCATTGCATGTCTTTCATTGCCATTGTCTATATCCATAGAGGTCTTGAAGGCAGATTCACCAATCAACTTTGCTTTTCTATTGCGCCAAACCATTGTGATTCA